TATCTATGTGAATGAAGAAAGACTTCAATCTTCAGAACTGGACATTTCAATGACATACTACATTTCAGTGACATTACATATCAGCAATAAAATCCAACCACAACAGTATCATCAATTTTACTGCATTTTCTCAAATCATGCTAAATAATGGTATTTTTCAGGCTGGTTAAATTTATGCACACACATGTTCTATAGAGACTTCATATACTGTATATACTACTGTACCATTCAAAGATTTTGTCACAGTAGCTTTCAGTTTGAACTTTGTTTTCATTTGCACCTTTTTCTCCCTGCCTTTGTTGTCATGGTCACTCATTTGGTTCGTCATTCAGTTCAGGTGTATGTGATTTAATTATCCTTGTTTGCATGTGTATTTAAGTTACCATGGTTCTGTTCATTGATGTCAGGTCTCGTCAATGTTATGCATGTTATAATCCTTCTCTCTGTTTGGATTTATCTTCTGTGGATTTATTAAAGACTTCATATCTTCATCATGTTTGTGTTTGTTCTTCAACACAGTAGCGTGACAGGTTTAGGGTCTGTAAGATTTTTTTTTATATTTTTGAAATATGTTTCTTATGCTTACCAAGGCAGCATTTATATAATTAGATACAGTAAAAGCAGTAATATTGTGAAATAATATTTATTATTTCAAAATAAATTATTACAAACTAACATTTATTATTTCAAACTACTGTTTTATTTTGTGATATATATTTTAATACTTTATGTAATTCATACCTGCGATGGCAAAGCTGCATTTTCAGCAGCCATTACTATTGTTTTATCTTTTCGGAAACAAAGAAAAAAAAATTCGGGATTAGAATAGAAATAGAATAGAAAGTTCAAAAGAACAGCATTAATTTGATAGAATTTGTAATTTACACGTTTTTTACTGTCACTTTTGATCAAAATGCATTCTTGCTAAATAAAAGTATTCATTTCTGTCAACAACAACAAAAAGATTGACCCCAAACCAATATTTTGTTAATAAATAAATATAAATTATAAATAAAATATATATTTATAAAATATATATTAATAAATATTAACACTTTACAATAAGGATTCATGAATTAACAGATGTTAACAAATTAGATAACAAGAACTAACAAGGAGCAATATATATATATATATATATATATATATGTTATTCATCTTTGTTAATGTTAGTTGTTAAAAAATACAATTGTTCAGCGACTGTTCATGTTATTGGCATTATGCAATAATGCATATTATGCATATGCATTTGTAGTTTCCCTTTCAGACACAAAATTTATGTGAGGACAGTATTTAAATGAATCATGTAACATGAGTTACTAAGGTTTGCGCAAGTCATTTTACTGGTATTTGTGCCATTACTTACCGCCCAAAAAAGCATGTCTTAACCCATTCTTTGCCTGTGTTGTTAGTAGATTACCCACACCTGATTATCTGCTACGCTAATTTGCACTGCTCTTGGTAGACTGCGTTAGTCATTATGGAAATGCATTGGCTGCGTCTGTATTCTTGTAAGCAGATCACCTGCAGAACTTCCCACTCTCTGCTTTAATGGTATATTGTTCTCATGCTAATTTGCCCTGTTTAGTAGATCTGGCTGCTTATGCTAACAGATACAATTGATTTTAAATATTAGTAAAAGTTGAAATTTACAATAAAATTAATAAAACCTGTAGAGCTATTGTTCATAGTTAATGTTAACTAGTGTAGTTAACTAATGGAACCTTATTGTAAAGTTTAAAGTAAATTTACTACAAATTATGTTCTCCTTAAAGAAACTTTTGCTAGATTCTAAAACACAACACACATAGAATCTGGCCAAAGTTTCTTATAGGAGGGCATAATTTGTCCTCATCTTAACATTTGCAATTCAGAAGTCTTAAAATGTCTAGGTAGCAGTTGTGTTTGTCATACCTTGGCTGCCATGATCATGGAAGAGCCTCCACGGATGCCCAGGATGGGGATGTGCGTCTGAGCTGAGATGAAGTCCAATATCTGGGCGATGGCCTCCTGATCGGTATCGTCCCCAAACACCACACCCTGGAGCCAGTTCCGCGACATCAAAGCACAGATGCGGTTTATGATACTCTTGGGGTCGGTTTCGTTCATCGTGACCAGTTCGACTTTCGGAGGGAGAGGCACGTGGAGGAAGTCCTCTTTCTCCAGACCTTCAGAGAGGGACACCTCACTGGAGTTTCCCACAAGGATCACTGCGATGCTGAGGCCTTGAGCAAACTTTGGTGGCAATGGAGGACCCACTGGATTAACTCCTGGTGGCGGATAATGAGGAGGGCTGATTATCGACTGGCCGCGCTCGCCGCCGCTCATGCCCCCAATGGGCGTCCCGATCCCGCCTCCACGGCGAGACTCGCAGGTGGGGAAGAAGAAGAGAGAGAGGAGAAGGAGAGAGAGGGAGAGGGGCGGTTTGGAGGAAGAAGCCAGGGAGACAAAAGACAGGACGCGACGGTCGGAGAAAGGGGAAGAGGAGAGGTGGAGGCTGACAAGCATGGCGGAGGAGTGAAGATACAGTCCCTGCAGACAGAGAAAGAGAGGAGAGAGAGAGGGAGAGCACTTCAGTTTGGGAGCTGAATTCACAAAATCCACACGATTTGAACTTGACTGGTGAAAGTTGAGTAGCAGTTCGCAAGTAAAACCAACGAGAGACCTGTGGTTTTAAAAAAAGCACGTGTCCTCATATCAAGGGTTTGTCCTCTTCATTATTGACATATGTTAGACAGAAATCACAGAAACATAGGCAGTCTTGGGAAATGAGGTCATTTGCAGCAGTCACACATACTGCACACTGATAACACACACACAGGTTTTTCTAACTAAGGACATATAAATCACTTTTAATATTTATATATAAAGCTAATTAAAATTAGTAGGACAAACCCCAAATCAAATTTTTAGATTAATAAAAATATAGTTAAATTATTTGTACCCTCAAAGGGGTCATGAACTGTGAAACCAAAATTCCCTTGATCTTTTGACATATAAGAGGTCACTGTACTAATAAAACATCCTGCAAGTTTCAGAACTCAAAACTTTGTCATTAGTCTAAAAACAGCTTCTATTGAAGCCAATCTGCCAAAACGACAGCTTGTGGACTGTGCCACTCTGTAATGTAATAGTGTGGATAAGCACCGCCTACACAGAAAAAGATCAACGCCTGCTTCTACAGCGCTGCCTGTTTAGCCCCGCCTACCCATTTGCTCATGAAGTGTGAATAACAAGAGGGGCGAATGCAGGTCTACGCAGAAACCAAACAATAAAGATGGCTCTGAAGACAACAAGACGCTGTGCAGTGCCAAGTTGTGGAAAATGCATTGCATTGTCTTTGTGTTGCCTTCTTTCTGATTCCAACGCTAGGAAAGAGTTGATGAACTTTATTTTTTGAATAAAGTTCCAGACAACGTCAGTAAGAACTTGGTCCTTTGTTCACTTCATTTCACCACAGATTTGTTTACAAATAAGGCACAATTCGATACAGGATTTTCAGAAAAGTTTTAACTAAAAGACGACGCTGTGCTGGCTATATTGGATCCAACAGTAATGTTGCACCACACAAGTGTGAGTAACTGTTTTTATTACATGGTCACTATTGCTTTGTCTGTTATTACAGATCGTTTGATATGAGTATTTATGTGTTTTTAACCTAAATCACTGCAGCGTCTCTCTGTGAAGGTTGTAGGCTGTCAAACATACACAACTATAAGCCAATCATAGCAGTGGGTGTTTACTTCCGACTCTACAATCCTCCACGCCTATTGAAACAGTGCGTTCAGATGAGGGGGGTCAAAAATCTTGATAACATATAAGTGGACCTCAGAGAACAGTACAAAATAAAAAACAAAGGCAGTTCATGACCCCTTTAAATACCATCCCTAGAGATCCTAAAAGGATGTTTTGTCTGATAACAATTTGGTCCTCAAACTATTGCACACTTTTTTAATGCAGGAGACTGCATTCTGGGTTTTCTTTATCCACTAAAAAACACATGTGTTGTGTTTTAGAATCTGGCCAAAATTTCTCATAGGAAAGCATAATTCATCCTCATCTTAACAATCTTTGTACCAAAAATGTCCTAAAATGCTTAGTTAGCAGTTGCGTCTGTCATACCTTGGCGGCCATAATTATGGATGACATCCCAAATGGAGATTTTGTCATACAGGTATTTAGCTAAATTCTGATAACATTTGGTCCTCAAACTGTTTTTTTTTCAATGCTGGGGAATGCATCACAATGCATTCTAGGTTTTCTTTCTCCTGGGGACATGTCATTGACATCAGTTGTTTATACTGAGCTAATGCTATTTTCTGACCCTTATGGGGACATTTGGTTCCTACAGTGTAGACAAAGTCTGGCCCACAAATACATGCACTTTAAAAATGAGCTCAAAGATTTCAAAAGACCATGACTATAAAGCACAGAGAGTAGCTATATATATATACAGAGAAAGAGTGAGAGAATAATGTGCGTACACTGAATAGCAAATGCAATTAGACGAGTAACATACAAGTTGATTTATCAGCAAACAGCATATTCACTCACACACAACACACACAGTGACTGACATTTGCCAATTATCTTTCTGTGAAGACTTTGAGATTTGTTAAACACTTGTTATTTAGAGCCATTTTCATTAGCAGAGGTGTGGAACAAGTTAGTCATTAGCTAATATGTTTGTATCTGTTTGTTAATGATGGCATTTCTGAAACTGCTTGATCATTGTCGTTTCATTTCATCTAGACATATTTTCCATTAAAACAGGAAGTTTGCACGGACATATAGTACACTACCATTCACAAGTTTGGGGTCAGTAAATATAATACTTTAATACAGCAAGAATGCATTAAATTGATCAAAAGGGACAGACATTTATAATGCTACAAAAGATTTCCATTTCAAATAAATGACGTCCTTTCTAACTTTTTATGCAACAAAAAAAGCTGAAAAATGTATAGCTTCCACAAAAATAGTAAATGGATACAATAAGAAACATTTCTCAAGCACCAATCAGCATATTAGAATGATTTCTGAAGGATCAGTGGAGTAATGATGCTGAAATTTCAGCTTTGCATCACAGCAATAAATTACATATTAAAATAGATTCTAATATAAATTACATTTAAATAATGTTTTTTTTTTAATACAGTTTGCTAAGTTTAGTGACTTTTTCCATTCTGTGAGGAAAAGCATATTGAATGACATGCCAGCTTACAGCCACAAAACACATTTCAAGGGGTCTTTAAAGAACAGGCACACAAAAAAAATAGGGAAAGAAACACATGGTGGGTGAAGAGGAGGACAAAAAGATGAAAGGACAACATAAATGAGGCATTGCTCAGAAAGAAAGCAAACACGCTTGAAAAAGGAAGACTGCTTTTACAAGGCTAATTATTGGAGGTTTGTCAGTGCTAATTGCTTACAGGTTTATATTACCATACTATTTTTAAAACCATGGCACAACCAATGTAAACAAAAAATACAAATACAAATTCCAGAATTTATGCAATTTATTTTAGATTTTGTTTGTTACTACTATTGTTTGACTTATTTTCATTATTAATAAATGTTTAAATAATTATTAATAATATATTATAATACTTAAGCTGAGTAGCCCCAGCAGCTCACTTGTTGATCATTTTGCGTTTCATGTCATTTCATTGCAACTCTTTGCAATTTTTTTATAAAAGTGCAAATATCCAAGTGAGTGAGTTATTTGCTCTGCAGATAATTAGTCTGTCCATTTTTACTAGTTTGACCCATTCAGGCCAAACTGCAGACTGGTGGGAACATAATGGAGAAGCTTTATTGCATTTTGTCTTAAATGTAAATCCAAGAAGATCAAGGGAGGTAAAAGAGTCACTATCTCTATCTGAACCACTGCCGACTAGTGTAGCTGTGGATGGTAATCTACACATTAGTAATTTACACGTTATTTCAGTTCTTATATATTGGGTCAAAAACGAGATGTGATGTCCCATTTTGTATCAAATGAAATGTACAAAAGTGATAAAAGCATACATAGAAATCATATTAAATGCAAGTAAAGTGTCTACTTCAATGTTTCCAGTATCTTTTGTAAAAAATAAAATATTCAAATATGGGTGAAATAATGTTTCATAGTCCAATGTTCTAAAAAAAAAGCAAATGTTTATCTAGCATATTGACTATTTTGACAGCTGTTGGATATCTTCCTTTTCTCTTGTGGTTGTTTTACAGTAAGTAACTGTATTGCACATCTATTTTATATTTGATTTTTAAATGAGTTTTAAAGGTGACATATCATGAAAATCTGACTTTTCCAGGTTTTAAGTGCTATAATCAGGTCCCCAGTGCATCTACCAACCAAGGAAACGTGAAAAAGATTAACCCAGTAACTTTGTTTTGGTAAGCCTTTTTCTGCAAGCGTCTGAAAAAACGAGCGCGTCTGATTTTGCTCCCTTGCTGACATGGCAAAGGGATGGGCAGGGAGCAACAGCTCATTTGTATTTAAAGAAACAGGTCCGAAAAACAGCGTGTTTCTGCTTCCACTCAAAATAGGCATTTTCAAAATTATATAATAAATGATCTGTGGAATATTTTGAGCTGAAACTTCAGACACATTCTGGGGACACCTGAGACTTATATTACATATTGTAAAAAGCGGCATAATATGTCTCCTTTAAATAAAAACATCTCAACCAAGCACCCTCTTATCTTTATATAGGGGGAAAATTCTAAAAATTTCTAACTAATAATTTATATTATTATTAGTTAAAAAAATTTAAAAAAAATAAAACAACTCATCATTGGGGGGGGGGTTCTAAACATTTTTTGTATAGAAATTTAATTAAATTTAGTTTGTCCAATGAGGTTGGTTATCTATCTATCTATCGGTGTAGTGGAAAAGATTAGTATAGATTTTAAATTGCAATTAATTAGTTTTTTTTGGGGGGGGGGTCTGCACCATGATCCTTTAACTGAGACTTTTAATGTCATCCAATGAGTCTTGTTCTTCTAAATATGCCTGACAAGATTTTTTGGTATATGAACTACCGTTAAACTGATTTACATTTTAGTGGATGTCTTCTTTAAATCATGGTAAATGTATGATGTTTTTTCTGAGAAAAATGAAATCAAACAGGACACATTTTAATGTATGGAAAAAAAAGAAAGCTGTAATAAACTATTGCTTGATGCTTGAAAACCCTTTTCGTCTTTATCCCTATTACATAAATAGTTCACATACCTGCTGTAACATTTGTTTAGTTTTTGTATTGCCAACTATTTATTTCTTCATGCTAAATGCTTGCATACCCAAGCTGCATTGTCACTGTACACGGGTGTTTGTTGAGAAGAATTCCAGAGTCTCTCAACATTTGCTGGATGGCTACTAAAGCTTAAGTTTAACTGACACAGATGACAAAAAATGTTACATATGCACGCACATTCCCCGTGGTGCTGTATAATATCCATGCATCTGCCTGCTCCGATAGATCGCTCTCTCTTGATTTTCTGTGAGACAGTTGTGCTCAGCCTAAGGC